AACCGAGGCAGAGCAAAGGAAATCGGTTGGGAAACACGAGTGTTTATGCTTCAAGAGATAACGAAACAGATGTACAACGGTTAATCTGTGCCAAAGTTCGCAAATAAACATCAATATAATTTGCAAGAATACTTCTGATCGTGTTTCTCCAATCTTCTCCGAGACTGCACATGATAAAGCAATGATGTCTTTCTTGTCTCACGCTGATGGAGAACAGTTCGAATCAACAATCCATTCAATGTTCACCAACACTGACATGTTCCATAAACCAAATTTACGTAATCTAAATAATATTTTTCTATGCCCTTACAGTTTGTGTTCCTGCGTAGGCAGGACTGAATGTATTATTACGGTAATTTATTATTATTACCTCAAAATTGTAAGCCATGTTTGGGGATTATTATTGTGTTAGCGGTGATGATTATCTAAGATGTATAGAGTGAACAGCGGCAATCTCTATCCATAGAGTATTTTAAATTAGGATAAGAAAACGTCAAACGCAACGGTCACGGTGCAAGAGTTTTGTGACACGATAGGAGAATGACTGATATTGTGCATAGTTTTGATCTGAAATATAAAATGAGTTAACTATCCTAGATAGTTAACTAATACCATATACTTGCGTTCAGTGTGTGTACACGTCGACGGGGTCTGTGAAACTGCAATAAATTGCCAGGGGGTTTAATGCACTTTTATCTATTTATATGAAAGAATATTTATATATTTGTACTAGTTCCATATGACTAGATTCATAGAACAATGAGACAGAGTTACTGATATTCGGGAGTTACACTGTAGTTGAGGAAGTACACTGGTGGTTTTTTATCCATCACTTTACGTTCCTAGTGGAATGTAGGGCTTCAGGCTAGAGGGTTTAAGTTTCGGTAGCAGTGTTTTTATTTCTTATAGGATGAGGTTGCTAACCTAATGCCCAACCTTTCCTCTTTGCCAGTCTTACGACTGACTCAGCGAGGTAAAGGGGTACGTCCGCCGGGGATTGGACCTCGAACCACACGCGCAATCGGCGAGTATTCTACTTCTGTGCCACCGGTGCACGCAAGTAGATTGATGTGAAGACCAATGTTCTGGGTTGCATATAGCCGGATTGTAGTGACGAAATTTGGTTAATCTGACAACTAGCTATTGGGGTCAGTTGGATTTGGGTGGCCCAAAAAATATAAAAGGGGGATGAAGGGAGTAGACGTTTTCAGGCAATGAGGTTGACGTGGCTAAAAATAGGGCATTTTATCCAGATTTAGTGCAACTGCTATGACGATGAAGTTAGACCGTGTATTCAAATCCAGGTTTGTGTGAGAGGATTATGGATATTTTTAAGTGAGGTTTGCTAAGCAAAGAATAGAATCAAGGAAAGGAGACTAAGATGACCGTCAGTACAACATTATTTATGCCACCTTAATATGATAATTCTGGATGTTTCTTTTAGTAGACAGGGTGAACAGGGCTATTCAGCCACGTAAGTCAAAGGGTGGTAAGAAACGATATCACGAATTTTTAGCTGGTAGTAAACTACGTCAAGACTGTTTTTAAAGAAGCACTAATTTAGTGGATAGGGGAGTCGTCTTACTGTGGTGCTCCTAGTAACTTCAGTTGGCAGGAAGTTCCATATTTGGCCATAATCAATGGTAAAAGTTAGAACGAGACTAGGTTAGACAAAGAACATGACTGAGGGAAGATCCATTCCTGCGTGTATTATATGCTGTAATGTTGGTTTTTAGGAAACTATACGATTCCTCTGAGGATTTTAAGTATGAGAATGAGGTGGAATAGTTGACATCTGAGCCAGGGTGGAGTTAGCTGATCAGTAGATATGGTGGTGGACACTAAGGTGAATCGCCTCATTCTGCAGGAACAGCATTAAAAAATTTGAAGGCTCGAGATATTTCTGGTTTTTATGAGGGCTTAAATCTTTATCTTGAAAAAGATAACAATGAACGCCTTGACAGATCATGCTTCTACCTTTAAATATATACCATTCACCCAGCCTATTGTTGAGATGCGACCATGTGGGATCTGCTCAGATTTATGGGGCATCTTATTAGTTAACTTGCTGTCTATCGTCAGATCTTTTCATACCACTCCACAATGTCTTATCTCATTTATTTTCTGACAACGTCTTTACTTGATCCTCATTTTACTCCATTAAACTTAACATCTTATAGCTCTTCATTACTTATTATACTCCTACTCTCTGAAGGGTACGGTTGTGCACTAAATGCACAAAAAGGTATAAAATAAAAACAACTGGCATGAGGATAATTGTATTAAAACCAAAAGTGGATATCGTGATAGTTTGTGATATATCTGTAGCATTATACATTGCAAATGAATGTTGTTACCCTAGGGTGTTTCCTTTATTAATGCATTTATTAATGATACTTGCACTTACCTATCTCATTACAATTTAATGATTCACCTCAGCACTTTAATTTTTCTAAAACAGATTCCAATCCCTTGTAAAAGGTGTACTTACCTCAATATCGGTTGGTTATCGTATGCCTACAACCACGGGATGAAAACGGAACGAAGTCGATTTTCCCGCTCAACCTGGAGGACAACTGTACAATTCAATAACTATACGGCCTAATTCAGAAAATGAGTGTATTATATGTATCGAATATTTAACAGTTGAAATACGATTAACTTGTAGACAATCTACGATTTGATATTATATCATACTTGATCGTGCCTGTAAAAATGGCATGCATTTTCATGTAAATTTGTAAATTTATATGAAATACATTATTATTATTATTAATGAAGTTTGATTTTAGGAGTTGTACAGCATTAGTTATTGGCAACTTTTGGACCTGTTCCCAAAATTCTACTCGCAAATTTCCTTCGGACACTTCCAGGCTTTAGTTAGTCCTTAGGAATGTTGCAACCTAAGACGGCGTATGTGCATTTTATAAAACTGTATTTTTGATTAGTGGGTGCGGAAATTATGAAATATAGGTCCAAGTATTCTTCTGGCCCTAGAAGCCTGGTTGGCGGCATATGGAAGGAGTTCAAAGCTAGCAGACTAACTGAGCCTGACGTCAGGTGCAAAAGGAAAGATAGGAATTGGTTTGTCTTATATGGTTAGGCATGGCATTATATGAAGGAGAGTTGGGCATAACAGACCACATTTCTCCTCACTGATTTACATTATCCATGGCTTACTAGGACCAGCTAGTCTCAGAAAAATCCCATCAAGATGCATATTCGGCCTCTAGTTTGGTTTCAGTAAAGAAGTACGTGTAAACGCGGATGCTATTTGAATGTGATAAACACTAGGCCCACTACTATCTGATCGTTTTGCATTAAGGGTTACAAACACAACTTAGTCGAAACATTATTTCCTCGGACTTTTACAGATGATACGCGGGAGATATTTCCATCATTTTCGGTACGGGTGTTCTCATTGCGCCACTGGCATTTATTCACAAGGTCTACCTTAGTAGAGTGGAGTAAGTCATAATTGCTCATACTTCTTACTGCGTCGGATAATGACTCACTGTGTATTACTGCATACTTCTATGTATTCCTAGGTACAACACACTGGATATTCTCTGGGGAATTTTCAACAGTTTGAAAATCTTAAGAAGAATGAAATGATTCGGTGCACTTTTTGGTTGTTACTTTAATAGTTAAGCTTTATTTCAGAAGGTATATGAACACATTACAGAAATTTTCATCGGATTTACTTACAAAATATTCACTCTTCAAACAGGATTTACTTATTAATCAATAGTCTGATGTATATCGTGTGACTCAGTGTTGCTGTGCGTGAGAAGAGAACCAATTCTGCAAGTTTTTCCTCCATTTCTTTCAAGAATTGAATAGCGCCTCCAAATCAGTCAGAATATGCAAGTAAAGGTGGAAGAACTTTCGGTGGCAAAAACGGAAATTAAGTGTTTCAGTGTGAACGTTGGAAACAATTCAACGCAACCACTTTAACACGATCCATACAAGCTACTGCGTTCTGTATCGGTCACCAAATTTTCACATGTCCATTTTACTATTCATCAACAACACGTCATACCCAAAAGCTGGGATGCCTTTAAGGTGTTGAGGCCCTATACGGCTCAATAATTATCTGGTAGAGAATACACAATTGACAGCGAAATATACTTAACCAAGCAAAGCCTTCAGCTACTTGGCAAAAAGGGGAATATTTTTGACAGATCGGAATCATAATACTATCCGCTTAGGCTTTTGTACATCTCGAAACATTGAGAGAGGAGGGAGTGATCTGTACAACCATGTGTGTAACTTCAGAAACAGAAGCGAAGCCTAAATCCTTCTCTGCGGCCAATTTATCTCTGGGGTGTCACATGAATTTAGAGTCATGGCCACCAAAACTGCAAGGGGATATTTCCCATTGGATTGGTTTTTATTTGGCAGCAGAATTCGTTTACCAGCTGACTCTATTTGGCTCATATCTCGCGATTTTGGATGGTGCAGTTACCACTCTCCATGCCTTATAAGAATAAAAATTCACGAAACCTGCCACCCTTTTGCTATTTTTAATTAATGTCGACAGGTGTACAGAAAGCAGTACATGTGGATGGTAGTCTTTCTCCCTGAGCTCCTGGCATTCCTAGACCAGAAACAAATCAATACAGAAACATAATCGCCGAAGGTCCGAAATATATTTCGGCATCTGGAATGTAGTGGCAATGACTGAACAAGCAGTCGAATGTATCACGACAACGTGACAGATGAAGTGAATACACCTTGAGTTTAAATAATCCATCTAAAAAGTACTGAATAATTGGGGTTGTAGTTCAGTAATTCTAGGGTTTCTGAACACCACCAGTAGCTGCTGCGCTTTTGCGAGGTGACTTGGAGAACAGCTGCTTTTTTAGGGACTTGCCACCATTAGATTTGTGAGTATTCTGCTTTGTACGAGCCATATGGAAAAACCGATAGGCATTTTTGAGGTGGGTCGACCTTGAATGATGCAACACTCAACGAAAATGGGCGAGCCTTACAGGGCTAACAAAATGAACTGAGCAAAACTCAATCTTATAAAAATCAAGTCACAGCATACTCACAAGTTCTAGGTGCAATGAAAAGAAACAGATTTATCATGATTACTTGGAGAGTTTCATCCACCCTTTAGATGACGAAAAGGTTCCCGAAGGTTTAGGCACTCAAATTTACTAGTTATCTGTCCATTTTATTAGAACAACGAAGTAGCAAGCTACGTTATTTTTCATTTACGTGGCTGCATTTTGTCAGTAAGTTTCTCATATTATTATGGAACGGCTTGAACTTTCGTCACAGAGTTCATCGAAGTGGTTTAATTCTCCCCAAAGGTTTTACTTTGTTTTCGGTCTGAAGCGAAGAGTTCAACATTTCTTTCAGGCGGGCGCCATAGTTTTGACGTTACATTTTTAGCATTTGACGGGGGATGTAGTTTGCCTAACAAATATCTTTCTCTTGATTAAACGACTGCTACTTTAAGTTTTTGGTGGCACTGTCCAGTTTTTTGGAGTAGGCTTTCTTTGGATCTTATATCAAGTGAATGGTCAATGGCCATGACCTCGAACTACGTTTACGGTGGTTCAGGAATCCAAAATAGTAATATGCTGTCTTATACCTTAAAAAATCTGTCACTGGGACCTAATCAAGTATCACAGGTGAATGTCGAAGTTTAATAAATCGTTCTAATTCATTCATATTGTTTTGGTAGATAAGTGATCAAAATACTAGCTCATTATCAATGGTGCCATCGACTGCACAGTTAACTTTTACTCGTTCAGTTCCTGGTTCATCTGCGGAAAGTACCCTTCGCCAGCCTTCTAGTCGCCCCACAGGAATACCAGATTTTTTGTCGCTGAATTCTGGACCAGTTAGCAATAGACCTTCTGTGCTGTCCACTGTATCTGTTTCAAAAGCTTCTTCACTTATTCCTCAAAATGGGCATCTTACCAAGGCTCCTGAAAGAGTTGCTCTCACGCCAAAAGCTGTTGTTCCGGCAAACCACGGTTTCGCCAACATGTTTCGCCATCGAGTAAGTTTTATTTTCAAGTTCGATGAAGTAGATTGGTTTCAGGTGGGAACTTTTATCTTGGAAGGTTCTTGTGCATATTAACTTCTTGACTGCGGGAAATAAACATTTCTTCTACCAATGTTCACATCTGCCTTAGAATGCACCGTGCACTATTCTGGTGCTGCTCATCCACATATCTTGTGTTTACCTATTCGTTTGCATCTTTTCCTATTTCCATGAGACTATCAAGTCTTACTCCACTCACTATCTTGGGGTTTTGTTTCTTAGGCTTCAAACCAATAATATACATTATGGAACAGTGGCACTGTATGCAAAGTAATATCTCTTTAGGAGCGAATGAAGATTTTTGATCTAAGATAACAATTGCTAGTAGTGTTTTGTGAAACAATCTAAAGTGTGTTGATGTAGGCTATTAGCTTGTTCTTTCTGAGTATGTAGCTTAGAGATCCTATCTACAACATAAAATAATACGTGGTTTTCTTCAGATAAAACGTGAAGTGCAGTAGAGGTGTGCTAAATACATGGACCACACATCAACAATCAACAATAAAGTGCGTCGGTGGCATAGCGGTTAGGACGTTCGCCGACCATGCACATGGTCCGGGGTTCGATCCCCGGCCGACGCACTCCTTTACCTCGCTAAGCCAGCAATAATGCTGGTGAAGAGGAAAGGTTGGGCATGAGGCTAGCAACCCCGTCCTGTAAAATAAACACTGCTACAGAAACTTCAAGTCACTAGCTTGAACCCCTATGTTCCACTGAGGAAGGTGAATGAAAAAAAATACACCAACAATCTGTCGTCAGTTTAGTATGAAAATATTGCACTTATCTGTCAAAACTGCGATGTGTAGTGTAAGATATTTGGCCGCCACTATATGGTGGTTATTGAACTTGACAAACTCAGCACCCATGAAAGTTAATCTGTAGGAAGTAAGTCGGGTTTTAAGGATATTAGAGGTTTATCGGTCCATCCTACTTTATATATTGATAGTTGCAGCAAAAATTCCAGCCTAAGGATATTGTCTTTGCATACTTTCCTTTCAGTCCATTCAACCAGTGGGTTTTGTGCCTGAATCCCTTCCTGCCGTACCTCAGTAATTTCCTTCAGATAGTGTTTTATTCTGCATAGGACTTTTGACTGTGAGGAACAAGTTTGCTTAAGTAAATTGAATGAATAATAGGCACAAATAACAATAACAGAAAGAGGGGAGCATGAGTGGAAAGTAATGGGTTGATTTGAATATTTAGGTGGGTAGAGAAATGATAATTCTGAGTAGCTCAGTTTACTTCTGAGAGCAGTCTCTGTGCAGCGAAAGGGATAACTTTTGACTTAATATTTCATTTTATGTTTTTATTGGCTATTACCTCAGTGTCATGTCTTATGGCCACTCTGAATTTCTGAGGAAGTCTTCAAATTAAAGATTCAGTTTGAAATTTTTTATAAAGGATCCCTTTGGTGTAATAATTCCTCTGCGTTTACAGAATAACCGAATTTACTTATTCGGTTTCCAAACACCTGGAGTATGAATCTACTAGGTTTCGCATACCAGGTATGTGAGGAAGTTATCCAGCTGTAACTTGCTGAAAAGCTTTTGGAGGGCTTCGTGTATGAATTTATGATTACTTCTTGGCATTACGAAGTATTCAGATTTAGTTGAAATTATTTAACTTCAGTTTGCTTGTGTCACTGGGGTATAAATGCTAAACCACCACCTTCGATAATGGAATTTTGGCTGCAGTAGGATTAAGTTATAAAAGTATGGCCTCAAACTGTAGTCATCAGATGTTGGTGTGAGCCACTTAGGGAAGTGTAAACTACCTGGTTGATATTCGAATGTTAAGAATCAGCTGTTGATGACTTTTGTCATTTTTTAAGTCGTTCAAAGTTGTGCAGATCTTTAGTTCTTATCGTGTTGAGGTATGAAAATGCTTCACTAATCTTTAGTGTATTATTCTCTTCGTCATACCCATGTTCGTCTATTGTAGTATCATCCTACCTCTCATTATTTTGTGTGCATGTGTCAGCTTAAATTTATGCACCTATGCCAATTCATCAGTCGATTAGTCCTAAATACTACTTCCAAGCATGATAGTTCTTTTTATCAGATCAGTGGCAATTATGTATATCGGGATTATCTCCGTTTCACAGTTATTCTTCTATACGCTTAGCTGTCGGAAATCTAATTGCTAATATGTTAAGGAGAAGTTGAACTAAGTGACGGAAATCTCAACTTTTTTGGGTACAGCTGTTTCTGCAGATATAATTATTAACTGTGTTGATTAATTGGTGATTGCTGCGATGTAAACTACACTGTCAAGTGATATATTTTTATAAAATAAAGGTATCTGTTTTTAAAATCAGGCTGATTCGAAAGCATCATGTTTATTTTGTTAGATAATTTCGTCATTTTGCAGATGAAAAACATGTAAAGGATGAAAATACATGGTAGTGTGGTAATATATATGATTGTTCACTTTGGTAATAAATTCGTCAAAAAGAATCTATTCGCTGAATATTGTTCTTAATGTTACAGTGGGAACCACTAAGTGATTAATTCGTTTGCTTTATTTCCTCAGAATCGTACATAACACAAGTTGTATCTCATGGTGTAGCTGTGAATGCTTTTGTTATCGGGACAACCAATGTGACTTCAACTAAAGACACTGGAAAGAAATTTGTTTTCCGTATTTACTCTCTGATGATGCGAATATTATCACTTAAACTTGACTGTTACTTGTTCTTTTACAGATTCCTGGCGTTCCTTCTTCACGCATGGTCTCCAACTTGCCAGATGGTCGTCAAGTTCCTTTGAGTTCTGACATGTGTCAAACCTTCTGGTCCGGTCGATTTAGTGGAACGACCAGTGACAATCTTTCGGGAGAAGGGATCAATAATTCTAATGTCAATCAGTCGAATTCATCTGCATTTGATAATATGTTGGCTTCCCCCCACTCATTTGGAAATTATTTACCACCGACTTTAAGACCACCTGCTCAGCCTACACAGCCTTATATGCAAAATTCATCCATTCCGTCTCTAAACTTTTGCCAGGCCGAGGCAGCATTACCACCCGAGATACGGCCTGACATTCATCTAACTGCATTCAGTGAATCCAATTGTGTAATCCCCATTACTGCTTCTCAGTATTACTCGAGTCATCAGTTTGAAAATACAAAAAAATTACAGGCTTGTGGTGGTCTCAGAACCCCTTCATGGATTCTCGTTCCGCCGGTTCCTGAGGACATTGCGTCTCATATGAGAACGGGAAGAATTCATGAATTTAAGTCGAATTTGCTCAATAACCGTAACTCTAGTTTCATTACAATTGATGACGATCTCAAGCGTGTATGTTTACATTATCCTTTCACAATGTTTTGCGTTCTGTTTATGTTGTGATATATCCAAGAGTTTTGATCACTTTCATATTCAACGCTTTTATCCCTGTTTGTTTACTGCGTATTGTTACTTATTCCTGCTTTTTAGGTACTGCGCAACAAACTTGAGGCCTGTTTGTTAACAGTTGATGAAGCAACAAAGGAAAGTAAGTAATAGTTGAATTGTTTTAGGAAAAAAATTTTAAAGTATGGATTTGGCAACAATTTTATATTATCGATAGAAAAAATTAGGCTTTTGATGTTTCGACCAAGAGTTACGTTGATAATGCCACCCAGTTATTTAGGTTTTAAGTGGAAATATATTTGTAATAAATATTTACACAAAACGATAAGATTTTGGCTTTACTTTAACTATTACCAAAATTGAAACTCATTGTAGCGTGTAAGTATTCATTGCAAAACGCGTCTGATAATTAGTTTCATAAAGTTATCTAAGCGTCACTCTTCTACCAGTCTTAGCACTTATATATTCATCGGCGAACTTCGGAAGACAACTGTGAAAACGCTTTTCAAAAGCCAGCGTTTTGAGAATATAAATTTTATGTTGTAAGGAAAACTCGTGTGATACGAACATGACGCTATTGTTCTTTCAGAAAAAAAGACAACCTGAGACTAAATTTAGTCTGTAAAAACAAATAGAAAGATTAGAGCTGACTCTTAGGTAAGTAATGGAAGATATCACTAACGCGTTTTTACCATGGATTCATTTTTAGCTGTGTTCCAGGATTTAGTTAATCTTAGGGTTTCAAAGTTGTTCCTCTTATGATACAAATGTAGTAATATAGAAAACCTTTCACGCAAATATGCTTCCCCATCACTGTCTAGGGGTGTTTAATAATGGCATGTAATTGCTTATTTTATGTGTAAAGAGAACATTCTCCACTCACTTATTTTTAAAATAAAAATTCATTTATTGTCGTCATGATTTTCTGTCCTACAGAATTGCCTCGCAGTCTTGGACCATATACTGACATTGTTCCTCTTGAAGTTATTGATCAACCACGAGCATCTGTTACATTTGGGCTTCCTGGAGTTTGTTTTAAAGCTTGGTCTCCAAGATTTAATTCTCATGTCCTCCTTAGACGCATAGTTCTGCCACCTGAGCATGGAGCAACTTTAGCCCCCGATGCTTATTATTTAGCTAAACATCTCTCAGAATTAAATCATTCTTCAATTGTTGGATTTCGGGATGTATTTTTCACAGATGCTTTCAGCGATAATTGTAAGTCCCGTCGAATAATTTAGGTGCTTATTTAAATACTTGGGTGTTTAAAATGGACAGTCAGTGTCCAAGCATTTTTCCACTACATTTGTTGGTCTTCTGAATCTACGTTGTAAAGGTCCCTCTTAGTAGTAAAGGATGCTTGATGGATGGTGAACATTCAACTATTTCTGGATTAAAAAGAGACGTCTTATGGTTAAAATGGTTGGGAATTCTGCTGGCTGATTTAAATTGAAAAAAATGCCAATTGTGTGGGGTTTCTAATGAATGAGTAGTTCAAAAACAATCGAAAGTCTATGAAGTATGAAGGTCTCCCTTCCATCCATTCTGTGATGAAAAGCATTCAAGGTGAGTTTTGATGAAGTCACGTAAAAAGGATGCAACATCTTCGAATCTCCCTGTTTTTTATTTAGTTTTAAAGGTAATCTCAGTGCATGGCGATGTTGTTGTTACATATTTGAATCCTGTCGGGTAAATATTCACAATTAGTATATATGTCAATGATTCCTAGGTGGATGAAACATTCACCATTTTCGCATCATATTTAAATTATTTAGTTTGACAAAGTGAAGAAAGTGACTGATTTTTAACTTGATGACTTGTTCACATCACTTGTTAAAGTAATATGTCTGTAATAAGCTTCGGAGCATTTACTTTAGGCAGTTAGCTTGTAGCCCACCCAGTATAACTACTTTATTTTTCTGAGGTGAAATTGCACTCCGATACTCAGTTTGAATTATTTTTTCCATTGTGGGTAAAATTTATTTTGATAAAGTCTCTGTTATACGGTAATATTTACAGTAAATATTACTGTATAACACTGTGAGACTTTATCAAAATAAATTTTACCCACAATGGAATTCTATTTTACCACATGCCACAAGTTCTATTCTTATATCATTGAATTGTTTCTATCACTTTAAGATATCGTGTTAAATATAATGTGTTCGTTGTTTAGAAAATACAGAAGAGAAACTTCATAGCCATGATTTCGTTGAAACAATGTGGTTTATATGCTGTCTCCAAAATTGGCTATTGCATTATCACCTGTGATAATAGCTGGATTCTAGGCATACTTTAGGCTGATAAAATCCTTTAGGTAACTCTTGAAAAAGAATGAATGGATTCAACTATTGCCTGTTTATTTGTATATTTAGTAGATAATTGGTTTTTTATTTCAAAGCAGTTTTTCCCTCCCCCCGATAAATTGATAACAGTGAAACAACTTTTATATTAGTCTATGATAATTTATCAGTGTACACCGGCAACCCAATGTAAAAAAGTAAGTTCATGAGTGTTTGTCTTGTAATCGTCATATTGAAAATTAGGTCACTAGAAGTGTGCATTAGTCAGATTTTATCTCTTCATGGTTTTGTGTGGCTTTATCCATGAACATCAATGGCGTATGTGATTTCTTAAAATCTTTCTTATTCAATTTAATTTCAGTAGAATTAGGGGTAGAGAGTATATTTTTCTAGCAGCAACAGCAATTTTGGCATTTCCAGCTACTTTCGGGTAATGTTGTATATACAAACACTTTCTTATCTCATTGGGTATATTTTTACGATCGAATCACACTGACTAGATTATTCGTACAGTTTATCATATGATCCTTTGTTTTATTTTTTTTCTTTCTTTTTTTAATTAAAGCGGTTATACTGGTCTACGAATACATACCGTGTTCTTCAACTTTACAACAAATTCATATGAGCGATCCCTTGAAAGTAACTAGTTTTACTTCACCATTCAATATTAATCGTACAATTTTACCTCATAGTTCAGTAAAGAGTAAGTTATGTGCCTACCGTTATGGTATTTTCAGTGTAGATTTCATCGCGAAGCAAAATCATTTAGAGAATCATTATAGAACTGGAAGCGCTGGACAGCTGTTTCATCCTAGTTTGAAGCTATTCAGCAGTGCATCCCAAACTAGGACTATAAACGGCTGTTCAATGCTTCCTGTTTTACAATGATTTTCTAACTGATATTGCCTCGCAATGCAATCTACATAGAAATGTATTAAAATCTTTCTGAGAACCCATATTCTAAATATTATTTTGTTGTTCATCTTGTATTGTCATTATTTCGTATTAGGAAGAATTTATTCATCATTGCGTGTTGAAGTTTCTCTATCAGTTTGTTATTGTTTGTGGTGTAGGTTCGATAGCCCTACACCTAACCCCCCCACTCTTTACCCGGACTTGGGACCGGTTAGAAAACTAGCAAGCTAGTTAACTAGGCGAGGTGCTGATCAAATTGCAACTTTACGCATCGTCATCTAACAAAGTATAGAGTGGTGGTAGTCAAACCTCTACCTTAACCTCATCGGCTTCGAAAAGGCTTTCGACAGACAGCTTAGACCGAAAATTAATTTGCAAACTACTTCAACACTACAGTGTGTGGTGCCCGAAATCTTTATCAAACTCATTCAACAGCTACATGAGAATGACACGTGTCAAGTGATCCACAGCGGAAAACTCAGCAAGGCGTTCGAAGTGAATACAGGAAGGAGTAAGACAAGAGTGCTGCCTATTATCACCTATGATACTCTTAATTGAGGTGAACTGGATTATGCGTCAGACTGCACACTGGGAACGAGGAGACAGGAATACTCTGGATCACCGATAAGAAGACTCTAGAAAATCTGGATTTCACAGATGATATATGTCCAATGTTACTCGAAGACTTACAGGTGGAAACCAACCAACTGGTTGAAGAAGCAGACAGAGAAGACAGGATTGCAGGTGAGCATAGAGTAGGTGAAAGTGATGAAGATAACCAACAAACCGCAACAACAACAACATCGGCAACTAGCATCAATCACCATCAACGGGAGAGATTTAACAGAGGTTACGTCCTTCACTTATCTCGCTAGGAAGCATCGTTTCAACTATAGGCAAATGGTACGGATGAAGATGTCAAAACTGGCCAGTCAGAATCGGAAAGGCGAGATACGCCTTCATCAACCTGGAACCAGTTTAGAAATGTTCTTCGATCTGCAGCATCAAGAACAAGATTCGGATTCTGTTCAACACAAATGTGAAGTCAGTCAGTTAGTTCTTCTATATGAGTGAGAAACTCGCGCTGCGTGTCACGAAGAGGATTTCCAACATGCCACTGTAGACTTTCATCAACAGCTGTCTTCGCTGGCTGGTTTGCTCCATACTGAAGGCTATTTAATGGCCTGCCAGCCACAAAGAATAAGTAACAAGAAACTCTGGCTGGAAACAAACCAACCAAGAGCCGATCGCTCAACAAGTATGTAGGAGATGAATGGAGATGGATGGATCGGACATACATTGAGCAGACCGTCGAATGACACCGCTCGCAATGCAGGCCATTGCTCGAGTGGAATCGGAATGGGAAGCGACTAGTGGGTCGTCAGTGCGAGGGTGACATGGATGAAATCGTGTGGGGGCGGAGGAGATGAGAGATTACGGGCAGTCGTGGACTCAGGTGAAGAGGACAGTAGAAAATAAAACAAAGTGGAGATATGTTGTTGAAGCTCTATGTTCCACTCGGAACGCAAAGGAATAATATTAAAAAATAATATTCTTAATTGCAGTACATGGTTGATAAAAATATAAACCAGTTCTGTTTATTGCTTTCAGTCATAATTTCACTGTACATTTCTTCAATCGAAATTACATCAATCTTCAAAACAATGAAGAAAAAACTAGTCTAATAGTTTTTAACACGAATATGGTTATATCAACAATTGATTGACTATACGATAACCTCGCTTTCTATAAACATGTGATGAAATAGGTTGAATCAATATCACTGGGTTATTATTCTTTCAGTACATGTATATGTCCTTAAGTGTTACTTTCGAGATTTTGAAAAAGATCAATAGCGGCTAACGTTATAACCATTATCAGTATTCTTATTTACCGCATTGGTGGCAATAGTAATAGTAGTTGTAGTCATAACTGTAGAATTCAGTATAGCTCTTTACATGCTATGGATGCATTAGTTTTGAATATTTATGCCTTTCAAGTCTGTTTATCAGTCTACTAGTATGTTTAATACATAAGCTATACACAATACCCATATTCTATAACAATAAGGTGAATTTTATGAAACTTAAACATTGGTGGCTTGATGTTACGCGGTAGTGCTATTAAGGTGATTAGACATGACCTCTGCTACTTATTATTTTCTGGTGCACATCAATTATCAGTAATGTAATGATGTCAAGATGCAATGCTTCACTTCTACTGGTTGCATTAATTCACTTAGTAAAGTGTTGAACAAATATTTTACGGTATCTCTGTGTGTAGTTTTGCAGTTTTGGAGGAGAAATTTGTAGAACTACTTTATACCTTGGATCTCATTCAAAAGATATTCGTCTTTTAGACATTACCAGTGAATGGTGTCTACACATTAACCGTGGAACTGTGGCTCATTAGTCTAGGCGCTTGAATTCCAACCAGTTGGTCACGCGGTCGAACCTCACTCCACCTACCGAGATTTGAGCCTCCAGGTAGTATCACTAGCTCCCACACGGTAGGTGTGGTTTATTCCCGACTTCATGGAATTGCAGGTGTGTTGAGTAACATTCTGTTCTCCTTCTATATACTCACCTAATAAATGAACTGACGTGTAGGTTCAACTTGTTTTGTCAATCACATGGTGGAGTTTTGTGAAACAAAAAACTCTATTACATTTATTTTCGCTAGTGTTAAACTGTATGCACTTTATGTTTTGCCACTGATATTTTCACCCTTTTAAATTGTAGATGCACCTACTGATCTTGGAATGCCTCAAGAATCTGTTTTATGGTCGTATTTAGTTCAGTTAACCAGTGGCCTACGGTTTATTCATCAAACAGTTCGTCGGTCATGCGGTATACTAGATCCTACCAAAGTGTTATTACAAGACGGTCCACGGTAGAATTTTGTTTTTTTAATTCTGAATTGATATAATTTTATAGTTTTTCTTTTTTATACTACTACTACTACTAAAGTCTCGTGATATATGTCTTTATTATGTATGTTATTTGCTTTGTCAATGAACTTCTTGAAGTGATTACTCCATGATCCTGAATTCTATCAGCGTTAATTACTGCTTAAGCAACATCCAGCGCCAATCACCATCAACGGGAAGGATTTGAAAGAGGTTACTTCATCCACTTATCTAGGGAGGATTGTCTCAACTACAGGCAGTCGGAACGGACGAAGATGACAAATCGAGAATCGGGAAGGCGAGAAACACATTCATCAACCTGAAACCAATCTGGAAATCTTCGTCACTCAGCAACACTCAACAACAAAATTCGGATTTTCAATACAAACGTCAAGTCAGTCAGTTCTTCTATACGGATGGATCAGAAACTTGGCGGGTGACAAAGAATATTTCCAACAGCCTGTTGCAGACCTTTATCAACAGCTGTCTTCGCTCTATACTGAAGATCAGATGGCCGGAAACAATCACCAACAAGAAACCGTGGGAACAAACAAAACAAGAACCAATCTCTCAACAAATATGCAGGAGAAAGTGGAGATGGATTGGACACTCGCTGAGGAGGCCGCTAGGTGACATCGCGCGTCAGGCCAATGCTCGAGTGGAACACGAAAGGGAAGCGGCGAGTGGGACGTCCAAGGGTGACATGGAGGAGATCGTGTGAAGAGGAGTTGAAACAGTATGGATTAACATGGATGCACGCGAAAAGTACAGCAGAAGAGAGAAGCAAGTGGAGACGTGTAGTTGAAGCCCTATGTTCCACTACGAACTCAAGGGAACAATAAATAAAATATAATTACTGCTTAACACAGGATCAGTTTACTTGTTCATTTAGTATTAGACATAGCAGCTGTGTTGATAATCCTGGCATCTATATGTTTTGAAATATGTTTACATCCTGAAATGTCCATTTCAACTGTATCATTTGTATAGATGATGTTATTAAGCCAGAGGAGCAGTACTAACTGCATGAAATATTGACTATTTTGTATGTCAAGCTAAATGTTTCTAAGACAAATAGCCTTATAACAAAGCTATATAACTGCTTTAGTTCTATGCATATGTTTCTGTTTTACAGCTTGAAAATCAACTGCTTTGGCTTGAAGGACATTCTGTTCTATTCTGCACAGGATTCTAATTTGTTGGAAAATCAGGTACGCCTAATATACTTTGATTTATATATATATATATATATATATATATATATAATATATATGCATATATGTATGCTAACAATAATTTTACACTTTCCATTTAGGCTTCCGATTTCATACAACTTGGCAAATTGATGTTAGGAGTTGCATGTGGCACAGTTGCAGCTGTACAGGTTAGTCTTCTTCATTGAGTCAAGTTTTTCATCGATTGTCTCAGTTTATTAGAAGGTTGACATTTCTCCTGCTATATTTACAGGCGGGGTTGGGTCGGTGGGGGAGTCAGCTTGTTTATCATAGTATTTTTGATTGCACACTAGTCAGTAACTAGTGTAATGTGTCTAGTCCTATCTTCAGCGCAGACTGAATTCTATCAGTCACTCTGACTTCAGCACTGGGTGACGCGGGTTCGAATCTCAGAAGGGATACCAGTTCCTTCAAGGTTGCAGATACGCCTTGCTGACTGGTGAGTGCCAACTAGCACGAAACCTAGGTCAGGCAAAGCTTCCTGCCGATCGCCTCCAACCATCTGTTTATCATAGTATCTAAAATTATAGGTCCCATAATCCTGTGTAGATTAAGCGTTGCTCGAAAGTAAAAAAACCCCATGAAAATTAGGTAGGCTTTATGTTCGATCATATTTACACTGTGATAGATTCTGGAACATAAACATACCGGTGTGCAACACTTGCCATTATTTATCAACCTGAAGGTGACATTTAACTTTGTCTATTGAGAAGCACTATGGCAGTATCTGGCCGTAAAGAGAGTGCCAAGAAGGTATGTGGCACTAACCAAAACTTTATTCGAACTCACACAGCAGTGTAAGAGATTCTGGAGAGTTGTCATCTGAAGTGATGACGACAAGTGGTATTCGTTAGACATGCTCAATATCTTCATTTTTGTTTTATTTGGTTATAAATCTACTGATGAATGAGACTGTGACCAACTTTAGTGATTTAGGGATTGACTTGCTGCTGGGAAAGAGCCTCCTCGATTTATAGTGTACAGATGACGGTGGCAAAATGAAGAGTCATTGAAACACGTTGGGCAGAATTCTTGAAAAGTTTGCCATGTGATTCATCCCTGTCCGATGTTGGATGATTCTGGAGGCCTGCTTTGAAGTGATTGCTAGCATAAGGATAGGAAGTGAATCAGTCGTGTGGATGTTGATCATTTCGCTTATTTGCGAAATCTCACCATTCCCATTGGATTAACTGCTGTCTAAATTACAGTATGAATACAAAGCAATCACTTTGCATTTGATAATTCACATCATCTTTAACAAAGGCAGGATATCTGTGTGTTCATCGAACGGCATATCCTAATAAGCAATAAGTTGTGCTCGAAACGTTATCAGTGAATAACACTGTGTTGCTGTGTACTTTTATCAAATAAAATTATTCCCTGTCTATTGCAGTGTCCACATTCTATTCGTATTTTGTGATACATGTTCGTATATTGTAATGTTATCATATTTCTATTTTCTTGTCCGGTTTACGTTTTCGATTTGAAGTGCTCGAGTTTTACGCATTTTCTCTGAGTTGCTCATGCAAAACACTGATAGTTAAGTATGCGAGGTCCTTCAATTAATGGCGGCTAGTTCAACTGGATTACTGTAGCAGTTTATGTCAATTTTAATTGCTTCAAAAACTTAATATCGTGCATGTTTTGTTTAAAATATTTCTGCTTAATATTACCTCAATTTTCCAATGTGTATTTTCTCTTCTTGAAGGCTAGTCAACGGGTTTCTTCCTTTAATTTAATGCAACGAGCATATCGACCAGAATTGGTAACTCTAATCCGTAGTCTTATATCAGGACAAATTACTGGAGCTGATCAGCTAATGCGAGCTACTGCACCATTTGCATTTGATCATTTAACAAGGCTATATGATCATTCAGACTTGTTAGAAAGTCAATTATTATCAGTGAGTTGATTATTTCTTTCTATTTGTTGCTAGATGGTGTTAGGTTAAGTTATCAGGTGGAGATAAATCGTATAGAATATGACGTAATAGTGCACTGTGTCACACCACCGAGACATCAAAAATGAAGTCAACAAAAAGCACGATAGAGAAATTGTAAAGCAGTTGAACACTTCAATATAAGCTCCGACATTAACTAACATCAGATAGGAATTACTGAAAACTAGGGAGTTCTGGACATCTGTTTTGTCATAGTTTGGGACTCCTCATCAGTATACTTCCACGATTCCATAAGGGATCGAACCTGGGACTTTCAGATTATGAAGACAAGCCCGTTGATCATTCAGCCACTTGGGTTGAGGGTTTAGCGATCGCTGGTGGGATTGTGGATGCGCACTGTTGAAGTGTCTCAGACTAGGACGGAACTACTATCCAGTGCACTGGTTGTCAGTGATGTCTAACCAATGTTGCTTCGTGAGGAAATCTACATTGAAATTAATCTGAATCCCCACAGAAACCGATAATCTAATATATAAATTTTCTTTAAATAGAAAGAAGAGGGAGTTTAAGAAATAAAGTTATTCATTACTGTTTAAACATAAATAAAATAGAATTATTGCACTACGAACAGTTAAACGGATGAACACCGAACGTATTAATAGTAGTAGTAGTAGTAAATGACTGGAAATCTAGTCTAATTAGTAACATGCTCATTGAAAATGTCACATAATGCGATTATATTTGAAATAGTAATAAGCGGCACTGACTGGAAAAGTCTGTCAACCGTTAGATGAATTATCTAAAGATAGTCGTTCTGTGGTTACAGGATTTCATCATGAGCTGACACCGTTTAAAGAACTGTTGGAAAACCTAGGGGTACTGGACAGCTGTTTCATCGTAGTCTGGGGCTCTTCATCAGCACACATGCATCGGGATTCGAACTCAGGACCTTCCGGTTACAGGGCGAAGATGGAATTCATGAGCCATTCGATTGTGTACCAGTGCCTTAATGGTCTACGAGCTCTCCTTGTAACCAGAAGGTCCTGGGTTCGAACTCTGGCGGTGGGTGTGGGCTGATGAAGAGCTCCAGACTAGGATGAAACAACTGTCCAGTACTCCCAGGTTTTCCAATAGTTCTCTAACCGATGCCAGCTTATGATGAGATCCCGTAACCAATGAAATCAATTCCCTGAGAACCAACAATCGAATAGTTGTGGTTTATTGTAGAAAGTGATTATTGTATCACGCAACAATCTCCCTTCACTTAAATTACATATGTGTATATATATTTATATATAAAGGTTTGTTGCTGAAAATTACTCCTCTTCTGTATTGTTCTTCATCTTAGGAATTGGGATGTGACAGACTTTTCCGACTTATCTGCAAATTACAGTCCATTGTGGAGCGTTGCGAGTGAGTATTCCAACAATTACTGTGTGTGTTTCTTTTTCCTTTTAAATGTACAATCACTTGGTGTTTGCAAGATCCATGCTTGCTCAGGCAATCATATTTTCTATTTGTATTTAATTTTGCACAATTAGATTCTAAACAGAATTTCTTACAGCAGGGTTTATATTTTATGCATGAGTAATATTGGTACTGTTTAAAAAATATTTTTTCACTATGATTACCAAAATATTTGAAATCTGTTTGTACAAGTGATTTTGGCCGTAACTGCTGTAAATGACAGATGTTCTTTTTATGAACTGAGAACCCCCAACCTTAAAAAGTCCTTATTTACTGAATTGCCGCTGATTATCTCACAATTGAACCATGTACAGTTGTCGAGTCGCTCATAATTTTACTGAATACTGCAAATTTTTTTAACGGATTTCTAGTACCTAATAACTGGCTAGGCTTCAACATGGAACTTTTCACAGAAAAAAGCTTGCTGTTCAACTTGCCACATTCCATTTGGTGCAAAAAGGCAGAGAAAAGAAAAGAAAAGAAGGGATTTGAAAGAACTACGATAAGCGGAAATGTTCCTGGGAAATACAATAGTGACACAGAAAGACATGAGGATTCAATTGATATGGGAAATTTTATCAAGGGTGAATACATTGGCGCCATTGAGAACAACTTTGAGTCATATCACGAATAGTATCAAGTCGTCCTTGGCATCTTAGCATGCTTACATGTCTCAAACCAACTGTCAAAGACTCCATGAAGAATTGATTTCAAGTTTCGGTTGGAGCACCCTTAACCGTTTTCCTACCCAATTCTGTGTCAATTAATATTGCTCGCCAAGAAAGGCGGTGGCTCAGCATGCACCACACGTGTCCTAGGCATTCCAATCATTGATTGATTTCCCCTCCTTATGTAGCATTCTACGTCGTAACCACTGCTATGCAGAAACGCCGTTCTACGCTTTCATTGTCTACAGGTTGTTACTGTTTACAGCAGAATTGGGCGGAAGTATAGCCATTGGTTTAATGCTTGCATGTGACTTTTCGAAAAGTTTGTAGGCATTATTCCGTGCCTAAATTACTTTCTCTTGCTATCCACTATGATTGAATGTTTCTTCTCAGAAATCCATGTGAAAGATTATAGTATGAAATTTATTTCTTTAAGTTAAATCAAAAAGAAAATATGTGAAAATTGCTTGTTGTACTTTTGTTTCATGCCAGTGTTTTTCATTATTAAAATGATATCTAAGTTCGAGTCCACTTATGCTTTCTTTTCCTATTACATTAGCTACTCAGTGTTGCTTAGCGCCAGTTGTTGTCGTAGCTTCATTAAAATCTATACGAATGTGTACATGTCGACTATTTTATTCTTGTGTATAGCGTTTATTTGAAATTGCATGCCAAGCGTGTTCTCATTTGTTTTCGTTTCTCAAAGTGTTTTGATTCTTCCTCTCATGTTTTTCATTATTGTTCAGTGGTATGCACATTTAGTATGGATAGTTCTGCAATGCTTATTTGTTGGTTGTTCTTATTCTAGAACTAGAAATAAATTGTGATGAGGATATGATGAAGAAAAGTGTGATTCCTTTGAGAATGTTATAGTATAGTACCCTATTTAAGAAAAAAAAAACAATTTATTCACACAAAATAAGTTAAGGTATGCTCTAACTGAATGATAAGTATTGCCTGCCTAGTCACTTCATATAATTATTATCACCAGGTTTGTAAAAACATTTAGGTAGTTTTTTCTTTCCTTCACGTTCCCCAATGGAACATAGGGCTTCAAGCTAGTGGCTTGAAGTTTCTGTAGCAGTGTTTATTTTACAGGACGGGGTTGCTAGCCTCATGCCCAACCTTCCCTCTTCACCAGCATTATTTCTGGCTTGGCGAAGTAAAGGAGTGCGTCGGTGTCCGGGGATCGAACCCCGGACCATGTGCATAGTCGGCGAGCGTCCTGACCGCTATACCACCGACGCTATTTAGGTAGTAGTGTTGATATTATTTTGCAAAGAGCGGAGACGTGATTCACTGGCTTAAACACTCGGTTTTCAGTCATTGGTTCATGGGTTTGAGTCCTACTCCACCTGCTCCACTTGAGCATGGGCACTAGGGTGGTATCATCGGTCCTGACATTATATGTGTGTATCTCTTAGCCTAATACATGAAAAATAATTGAGACTAAACAAGCAATATCATTGACAAACGCACATATCTTCGTGTGAATCATCTAATCTCTGGTCAATCCTCATAATGTTTTTTTTTTTAATCTGCAAATTGTCGCGTTGATGAGGTGCTCGTTGAATTGGAGTGCCTTAATCTCGAAATAAACAATGGAGCTCCTGAACTTGTGTATGATTCCAAGAAGTTACATCTAATATAGTGACACTGGAAGTAAATTAGTGGAGGGAGATATTTTTAAAGTGGAAACATTGTTTTATTTGTTTTATGTACTTCAGCTGTGAGGATCAAGGAGTTAGTCAGATATTATGGAGTACTGCTGTATGTACTTATTCTATATCTATCCTTTATAAATGTATAGGTGGTGTTTCCAAGTAGGTCATGTACATCTCGGTCATCATTAGATGTATTTTTCGTTACTTTATGTTAGGTTTCGTGGATACTTATTCTACTGTTACCAGGGTGAATTTATTACTTACGGAAGGTAAATGTGATTTGCCATCAGTGTCCTCTGTGTATCAGTGATTCAGGGGTAGAATACCCGTCAGCCATACAGATGTTCCGGGTTCGATTCCCGGATGACTCACTCCTGAACCTTGTCTAGCCAGTAGTAAGGCTGGTAAACACAAAGTTACTGCTTCTGAAACTTCAAGGCTTAACGCTTGAACCCCCCCCCCAATATTCCTATAGGAACGTGACGAAACGAAAAAATCAGCGTCCAGCACCTGTCCTTTCCATTAAGCTACGATATTTTTAACAACTTTATGAACAATTGAGGATGTTATCCAATGCCTACGCATATTACCACCTTTTATTCGATTTTCAATTATATAGAAATAACATGAATCATTTCTCCATAATAAAAAAAAAAACACTATCCTATGTTCATTATCAACTTGATTATTTATTTCCAACTTAAAGGATTATTATTATCACTATTATTATAAGATATCACGTGTACATATTGTTTCATTTTACTGTCTTATATATATAGTCAGGGTATATCTCCAGAATGGTCTGAGACCGGTGATCGTTATATGTTAAAATTATTCCGTGATTTTGTATTTCATCAATCCGATCCCCTTGGTGCTCCATACTTAGATCTTGCGCATATAATCACTACATTGAATAAGGTACGTTGTTTTAGACTATTCATTGAGGACTACAAATCAAATAATGAATAGTACGAGTAGATTATGTGTGTAATTATGTTTAATACAGTCAAAAACATGATTATAAGTTGCGTGAATACTTTTAATTTATAATGTGGTCGTGGAACTTGTTTATTATTATTGTTACTGTTATTATCATTATTATTCATAGTTGAATCACAACTTAAAATACTCTGTTTTGTAAATAATAATAACAATAATAATAATAATAATGATAACAATAGTTTCATTCTGATTGGTGTGTTTATACACAATGCAGAGTATATAACGTGTTTTCCACTGCAAGACATTTACTCCTTGTGCAAAATCATCAGGTAATGTAATAATAATAATAATGATCGACAAGATATTGTTCGATTGGATGGAGGATTTCATCATGAGCTGACATCAGTTAGAGAACCACTGGAAAACTAACTGGGAGTACTGGACAGCTGTTTTGTTCTAGTTTGGGACTCTTCAGCAGTACGCACCCACGGGATTCGAACTCAGGACCTTCTGGTTACAAGGCGAGCTCGTAGACCAATGAGCCACTGGGACCCGATTCAATATATTGTTCTATCCGAAAACATCATGACCCCCAATGCTCCACAATGTTTTTCCTTCCATTCCCTTATTTAAAAATGTGCGTTGATTATAGATTTTGATTTGTAGAGGTGATTGAACGATTTAAACAATGTGAAATGAAGTAAATATGATGCATATACATGGGGATGGGGAATTTAGGTAACACGGTATTCAGGTAACTCTGGAAGCGTAGTAGTTTACATTAGCTTTATTATTGATACGAAGAATAATATCTAATAGTGTCAGTGATGCAGTGGTAGAATGTTCGCCAACTACGCAAGTGGTTGGGGGTTAAATTTCCAGTCGACGCATACCCTAAACTTTGCCCAACCGGTATTGACCCCACCCCGTAAAAAACGTCACTGCTCCTGAAACTTCAAAGTTCAACTTTGAAGTCGTATATTCCACTTCGAGTGAAAAAGCAGAATTGATAGTCTGTTCTGTCGAGTGCCGTTATTCGTTACTTTTGAACGAATAGTTAACGGTGTAGTGGAAATAGAATCACAGTTTATTAGTTAAGTGATAATGTTCAAGAAAATGGGGGAATCTCTTCTCAATGGAGGAGTTTTTCATTGAATTTTACAAGGTGTAACCACAAGAGGAAGTTTAAATTTAATATATGCAGAAGAAATATAGTAAAACTGGCTCATATACTTGTTTGTTTTAAGCTGGAATATTTAAATGAATTTAGTAATTGGAAATAAAAAAAAGTATGTTAATTATTTTTATAGAGGTGGTTATCTTTCATATCAATTTACTGTGCATTGACTTCTGGATTTCCTTATTATATAACAGCTTTAAGTGCCATATTGATTCTGTTCAAATAGCACTAGTGTGGTTTATGGTAAGATATTCCACACACACTGACTGACTGACTTGTTTCAGCGTAGAACTTTGCGAAGAAATCCAGCAGTTCAAGTCGCCACACTTCTGTAGCACACAAAAGATAGCGAGGAAAAGAAATTCGAACGAACTGTAATAAACACAAATGTGCAGGAGAACGAAGGAATTGTAACGTGAAAAAAAGCATGACGATTTAGTGGATATGGGAGATAAGGAGTGGATGCATCCGCGTCACTGAGAACGATTTTAAGCCATGTCGCCAGTAGTCTGTAGCCATTTGTTCTTAGAGTTCCTCAGACAGACCGCAGTCAGGCATCTACACCTCTCTACGTGGCTCAAATTAACTGATTCCTGGTTTCTTTTTGACCACCTCCGATTCTTTTCCAACCTGAACCTATATCGACTAGCATTAATGGTCGAGGAGGGTTACAGATGGGCAAGCACAATATGCGTCTTAACGATCCCAGTCAATGTAGTTTCACTACCTGAGTGATTGACTTACCCTCCTTAATTAACACTACACCTGACCTCAGGATTACTCATCGTATTATACCACTTAACATGGGAGATGGAACCCAAACATCTGTGATCAAAGCTACCTAGTCTTTTCAGGTCTTTGACTTTTATTAGCCATGTCTCACAAGCATAAAGAAGGACTGAGTGAACTGCTGCGTAGTACACACGGTTTTTGATTGACAGCCGGATATCACATCTACGCCAGAGAAACATAAGTTGGCGAATGCCACATCAGCTTTTTTGTACCGGTATTGGGATTTCGTCAGCAATCAGTCCATTGGGGGCTGATGCGACTTCCCAAATAACTGAAATGGTCAACACATTCAACCACCTTATTCTGTATCTTTAAACTAGGCGTCTCTAGTATCATCGTACATATGACTGGGGCAAATCGTATGCTTAACATTCGAAGATTTGTGCTCAAAGTGGTTAGAAGAAGACTACATTTTATCAGCACCTTCATCTAGGAGGACGACGTCATCTGCATATTGTTCCCTGGTAACAAGTCAACCCCTTTAAGTTGCTCAAGTCAGTTAGAGTCAATTGCATTCATACATTTTTTGATAAGATTGAACAAAAGCGGGGGACAACGAGCAGCATCCCCGATGAACAGACAACATTTACTGCCACAGACTAGGAAAATTGGTTAATTGAAACTGGTGAATTTAACACCCAAAACTAAATTATCAAATCTAGACTTGAAAAAAGTACCTGCAAGCTGAATGAATTATGCTGCTTTTATGTGGACGTATTTGTAGAAATTAGGGGTACAGTAATCATCGTTCATCATCATTTTTCATTTGATTATTAAGTGGTTGGCAAAGTTTATGCAGCAGATTGTTTTATATCTGTTTACCTAATAATAGTTATCTAAATTATTGACTCATGAATATTTGACGCTTAATGTGCTCTTTATTTCATGAAATTGTATCTTTCTTTATTTTTATCATAGGTTGAAGCTGGTTCACTTGAACGCCTGTGTCTTGTCAGTCGTGATAGTCAAAATGTGATTATAGTCACCTATGCAGATATTAAACAGTGGTTAGACACAAGTTTCTCTTATCTGGTAGAAAAACATCGTCAAAGTCGATGTGAATTGCACCTTGCACAACAAAGACACGCTCCTCCTGCTCCTGCTCCCCCTCCTCCTCAACACCACCAACAACAAGAGCAGCAACAAGACATCTCCACTTCTGTACCAACTGTTTCTGAAACCTGATAATGATTACAATGATACAGTAAATTCAATCTTATGTAATGTTTAATAATGTATGCATATATATTTTTATTGAAAGATAGTTATTTAATTAGTTAAACAATTAACTATGGTTCCTGAGAAAAAAATATATCCGATGTATATTGAGGCCACCTGTACTAATTGCCATTTATCATCTTTAGGCTATCAATTCGATTTTAAACTTATTAAAAACAATATCATGCTCTTGAAATTATTTTGGTTGATAGTGACTAGCAATGTGGAGTCCACAATGTGTATTTTATCCTATTTAGAACCTGTATTCCCTCAAGTAAGTGACGGTGTTCCCACTAAAACTCGAAGCATGCATGTAATCGTCCCGAATACCAAAGCGTTATCCACCACCTATCGTACAAGAGGCGGCTTTCGTGGTTTATTGGATATAGTGCTTTGACATTTGAAATCTGGGAGTACAGGTACACATCCATATGACGAGTCCTAAATAAAATTAAATATATGCATCCTGGATTTCATTGCCGGTCACCGTCAACTAAAATTACTTCTCATTAATCCTTAGACATCGTTGAAGTGTCCTTACTAAGAGCTGACATGACAACAGAGATCGAGTATTTCCGTTCACAACATAAATAATTAACGGGAAATACAAACCGATCTAAAAAATAAACAATATTCTCTGTGTTAGCTTTAGCAGAGATGTGACTTGTTGACTTAAAGCGCAGTCGACTCACAGCCAGTATGTCTAGGGTTCTAGTCTCGCTCCACCTAATTCAGCCTTCATCAGCTTTTACACAATGAGTGTGTGGTTTTCTGCCTGGTTCATGGAAAATCTGAGTTCACATAACAACAATATTTTACAACAAGCTAGTTAAGGTTGAATTTTAATCAACAATAATATGTTAAAAAGTGCATTTATTATTTTTATTATCATTCCCTTGGATTGCGAGTGGGACATAGAGCTTCAACAATATCTCTCCACTTTGTTCTATTTTCTATTGTCCTCTTTAGCTGGGTCCACGATTGCCCATAATCTCTCAACTCCCCGACACACGATCTCCTCCATGTGACACTCGCACCGACGACCCACTCGTTGCTTCCCATTGGGATTCCACTTGAGCAATGGCCTACATTGCAAGCAATGTCATTCGACGGTCCATCTCCATTTTCTCCTACATACTTCTTGAACGAGAGGTTGTTGGTTGGTTTGTTTCCATAGTTTCTTGTTGTTAATTCTTTATGTTCATTTGAACTCCAGCATGGAGCCAGCAAAGACAGCTGTTGATGAAAGTTTACACTGGCATGTCGGAAATCCTTTTCGTGACACGCAGTTTCTCACCCATATAGAAGAACTGGCTGACTGACTGACTTCACATTTGTGTTGAACAGAGACCGAATCTTTTGCTTGATACTGTAGAGTGGACAACATTTCTAGACTGGTTTCAGGTTGATGAGGGCGTATCTCGCCTTTCCGATTCTGACTGGCCAGTTCTTACATCTTTATCCGTGCCATCCGCCTGTGGTTGAAACGATGCTTCCTAGCCAGATAAGTGAAGGAGGTCCCCTCTGTTAAATCTCTCTCGTTGATGGTGATTGGTGCTGGTTGTTGATGTTGTTGTTGTTGCGGTTCGTTGGTTATCTTCGTCACTTCCATCTTCTCTATGTTCACCTGGAGTCATGTCTTCTCTGTCTGCTTCTTCAGCCAGTTTGTTGGTTTTGCCTGTAAGTCTTCGAGTTTGTGTGACTCTAGACATATACCATCTGAGAAATCCAGATCTTTTGGAGTCTTCTTATCGGTGGTCCAGAGTATTCCTGTCTCCTAGTTCCCAACGTGCAGTCTGACGCATAATCCAGTCAACCACAATTGAGAGTATCATCGGTGATAATAGGCAGCAAGCAGCCTTGTCTTACTTCTTCCTGTATTCACTTCGAATGCCTCGCTGAGTTTCCCGTTGTTGATCACTTGACACGTGGTATTGTCATATAGCTGTTGAATGAGTTTGATAAAGATTTCGGGCACCGCACGCTGTAGTGTTGAAGTAGTTTGCAAATTACTTGTCTGTCAACGCTGTCGAAGGCCTTTTCAAAGTCGGCAACTATATCACCTTAAAAACACCGGTTGTCGTCGGATCACTGAAGTTAAGCAACGTTGGGCCCAGTTAATACTAGCATGGGTGACCGAATTGGAATACCGGGTGTTGCCGGCTTTTTATGCCCGATTAACTCATTGTTCACATCTCTGAATGCAGCGCTCACTGGGTGGCATGGGTTCAAATTTCAGGAGGGATATGAGTTTCTTCAAGGTCGGAAATATGCCTTACTCACTGGTTAGTACCAGCTATCACGAAACCTAGGCTAGGTAGGGCTTCCTGCCGATTGCCTGTAACCATGTAATATCTCCTAAGAAATGTATACGCATTTATAACTATTATCTTCAAGCTATACACTATTTTGTTTACGTTATTTTCTTGTTTTTAACGTAAATAAAGATACTGAATACATAGGGAGACTGGTATATTACTCATGAATAACTTACACAAGGTCATGATCTTTTCACGGCATCTTTGTTTTCGATCGATTACGTATACTAATTCTCACTTATTTCCTTGGCAGTTCCATTCTGTAGGAAAGTGATTATTAACACCAGTAAATGACGCGTTATACTATCGCTATTAGCTTTTGTTTTCTTTAACGACATTAATTTTGTTTCAGCTTAGAATGTTTCATATAAGCTGAAGTGTAATACGTTCATATTCCAATTTGAATTTACGTGTGGACACACATACATAGGAGGACTCATCGATCTCTGCAAGTAAGGACTGACTTCAGAGCACATTTCTAAATGGCTCCAGAAGCAAATAGAATCTTCAGAACCCATTAATGGTGAGAACAGGAGACCTAGCTCCTCTACTGCGAAACATATTATAGAGACCGGGCATAAAATTGACGTTAACACATCTTTTAAGCCTATTTATAAAACGTGTTTGGGGCGTATCTTAGAGTTTGTAGAACCCGTAGCTGGCAATTAGGAAGTTTAAACTACCTTTATGTGTTCAAAAACAATTCGTCATCACACTTAAACCTTCCTTGGTAAACTTTGTTTTGATACCATCTAGGGTAGATATACTATTACCTCTGTTATTTGGTTTAGTGATCTTCATTGTTATTTTGACCTTCAGTATGTCCTTTTAGCTTGACCTAAGTCTATTTTCTCACCACTTAACTCTTTATTAATTTCCTATGACAAGTGGGTGTGTGATCAGATTGTTTGAAATGAGTGTTACACAAATACGCACTACACGATTCAGACAAATTACGTCATCTTATTGCTTTGTCTACTGTTTATTTTCTACTTTTTTTATTTACCTTAGATTGCTTATCGACGGGTCAGTCCTTCAGTCAATCAATCAATCAATCAATCAGTCAGGCAGGCAGTCACATCTCATATGACAAATGCATTCGTGATGTATTTTTCTCTCCTGTATTTTGTTGTCTTCCGGTCTTGTGAAATATATAATAAAGGAGATTTGCAATCCAACATAAATAACATCAATCAGTAGTTGGTAGATCTATGGATAGATGAAAAGATCAATGATAGTGTGCTTTCTTTCTTTCTTCAGGAGATAATATTCTATTCTATTCTATATCATAAATTTGTGTCTTTCTTCAACCTATGTTTATATAGATACATATATTTATATTGTTCCACTGTTTTGTTCTCTCCTCTCCCTTGATGATGCTGTTGATGATTTCCAACTTTATTATTATTATTTTTTTGGCTTAAACTTACATTCTGTAAAAACACTGCCCGCCCCCCCCCCCTACTATCACTTTTATGGACTTTTAATCTCTCTTTTTTTGTTTTCTATGAGGAATGATAATTGTTTTCCTAATTCCTTGTCGTCTCTTTACTCTCCACATCTTCAGGTGTGTGTTTATGTATAGTTCAATGAATGAATGAATGACTGTGCATATCATTACTCTAAACTAGTATAACTATTATTTCTCTCTCTCTCTACCTAACCACACATCGTTCTCACTAGTAAGCCGGTAATATATTATGACTAATGGTCAGTCAGCCGGTCAGTCGATTGACTTCGATATATATATATATATATATATATATATTAACTTGCTTGTTGATATTCCCTATTCTCTGTATATTTGACTTATGATTGTTACACAATTTTGGCGTGTTTCTTGTGTGTTTTTTCTTTTTCTTTTCTTTCAAACATTCAGACTTGACTGTTGCCAATTATTATTTGACCCACTCATCCATCATTTATTCCCCTTCACTTAATTCTTGTAATTTGTTGTAAGTGTGCGTGGGTGTGTGTGTGTGTGCAAATGCGCAAATAAGTCAGTCTCTCTCTTTCTTTCTTTGGTTTTCTTTTTGAATTTTGCATTTCTGTTTTGTTATCCTCATCATCAGCATCAACATCATCATCATCATTGTTACTATTATCATTTTTTTTACTTTTACAATTTCACAGAGAGTATTTTATTATTAGTGTGTGTGTGTGTTGACAGGATGAATGACAACCACCAGTCAGCCAGCCAGCCGACAAGCTTCATTTGCTCCTCCCTCCCTCTATCTTGCACGCACACATCACCAGATGCGCGTGCTCTCTCTATCTGTACTTATCTGACGAGTGAGTGAGTGAGTATTTGATTTTCCTTTCTACTGTTCAACTGTTTAATGTGCTGGTTATTTTTATCCGTTAGCAAAATCTGTTACTGTGAGTGAATAGTAGTGTGGGCAAAGCAGTTCTATACAGAGAGAGGAGGAGATAGTATATATATTGCATATATTCCAGAGTATATTGTGTTTTAAGCAGACAAAAAGAAATATAAAGTATGTTTCGATAAGTATATTTTTTTCTTCTCCTGATTTATTTTCAAAACTTTCCTTTGTATCTTTCTTGCTTCTCGTTATCTCTCTCTCTTTCTCTCGTTATCTTTCTAAGACACGATGACGATGATGATAGTTTGGTGGTTGTTATTCTTTTATGTTATTGTTGTTCTTGTTATTGTATGAGTCTGCGGATGCATCTTTCTTTTTAAGAAATAACAAACAAAAAATTTGTATAATTGTATCTATTATGATTACAACTATTTAATGTTCATTTAAATAAATAACTAAATAAATAAATACTGTAAACCAATATAAATACAATAAAATCCTATGAAAATTGTAATTGCTGTTGTTCCTTTTTTTGTCTCTATTCACTAGCGGTGGTGGGTTCCAGCCTGTCGAAAAGCAACTTGGTATTTCGTGGTATTTCACAATATCATTTACACTGCATCAAATTTTTGACATTTATCTGTGGATGGTGTTCAAATGCATTATATTTATGTATTATTATTTCGTTGCATTCCAAGTGGAACGTAGGCCTTCGATAGGGTATATCCATTTCATCGTGTTCTCCTTTAGGTCCTTTTTTAGGTCTGAATTCATGATAACCCATAAACTTTCATCTCCTATTAGATAGTTGGAGGCAATCGGTCATAGGAAGCCTTGTCTGACCTAGGTTTCGTGCTAGTTGGCACTCACCAGTCAGCAAGGCCTATCTATCTGCAACCTTGAAGGAATTCATGTCCCTTATGAGATTCTAACTCGCGTCACCCAGTGCTGCAATCAGAGACGTTACCACCACTGAGCTATTCGGGCTGGCTCGCGATTGACCTCCTGTAGGACTGTAGTGGGTAGTTTGATTTGACACTAGTAACTAGTGTGACGTGTCCAGTCCTCTCTTTGATGCAGATCGAATTCTATCAGTCAGGTTTGCAGCACTGGGTGACGCCAGTTCGAATCTCAGAAGGGACACTAGTTACTAGTGTCCAATCAAACTACGTTTATCTCCTTCTTATAACTCTTGGACCAACGCCCAAATCGTTGTTTCCCATTCAGGTTTCCAATTCACAGTCTGCTTGGTACATGGTATTACTTCAATGGGCTTCTTTAACGCAGTTTCGACTCATATGCATTTCCTTCGGCATATATTAGGCGATAGGTTCGTTGCACTACCCGTGTTCCTTATTGCTACTCTTCTTTGGCTATTTGATATTCAGTATCGAACGAAGGTTGCTGTTTATAAAAGTTTACTTGCAACCTGTAGGGAATGCTATTAGTGATGCTTCAAGTCTCAACTATATAAATAAAACACTGATTTGACATTAGTGTTGAAAGTCTGAATCTCGTTCCTTATGTTGATTGCAACAGATTTCCACAGTGACTTGAGATTAGTGAAGGCGAGTCTTGCTTTTCCAGTCTTAGGTGGCTTAGACATCATCCTCATCGGTGACACCCGTAGTGTTGAAACAATACTTGAAGAAATAAGTGGAAAAAGTTGGGTCACTCAAATTTCTCGCATTGGTAGTGATTGGTACTTGTTGTTGATGATCAGTGGGTGTTTTCATCACCTCTGTCATGTCTATGTTCACACTTGAAGTCTTGTCTTCTCTGCGTGCCTTTTCTGCAAACTTGAAAAATAAAGTCTCGGTTAATTGTTGAAGAAGTCACACTGAAACATTACTAAATCCACACATTGTGTTGTGCCAGGACTATTTGTTAATATGCCTTCATTAGTAGGTTGCAATTAACAGGAGATGAAGTGTATACTAGCCACATAGGTGATGGTGTTGTGGCATAATTCAACACTAGGTGACTGTTTAATTTATATTATTCACCCATATCTCTTGTTTAGTGAAATCTGATGTCTTATAGGTGTACTTTTCGCAGTATTCAATTAATATTTACCTAAACATTTCTTTGTTAAAACAAAATAAAGTTATAAATTTCCAGACCGTCGGTGTTACGAACTTCCTTCAGGTCGACGCACTGCTTAACCTCACTTAGTCATTAATAACTCCTGCAAAGAGGGAAGGTTAGGTGTGAGCCTAGAGCAGTAAGAAAAAACACCACCGCCAATGCAACTTCTGAGCTCAAGGTTGAAGAGATATTTTCCACTTGGAACTCAAAGAAATAAAATTGAAAAAAGTTATAAAAGAAATATTCTAAAATAATAGTAGAATACTTGATTGAGGATTCTTTCTAGCCGACTATCTATCGAGTAGGGTGGCGTTTGTTATTCATCCACTGTACTTAGAAGTATGGCAGTATATGAGGGAACATTTGAAGTGATTCCCAGCCTGAAATGGCACCAAGAACAAAATTAAGGGGTAAGCATTTTCTGACAGGAGAAAGATGAATTACTTGAAATTACAGTCATTATTCTAGTTATTTTGTATGACCAATAACTTAAAAATTCAATGCCTTAGAACCATGTTCTGAGCTGTTAGTAGCGTTCCGATAGAAATTTCAATGGCACAACTTTGAATACAAGGCTAACGCTAACTGTCTAGTCTACAGTTTACTCAGAAAACACAACCTACTGATAAACAATACACTTCGTCTCCTTTGTGACACAACCGACTAAAATTTTTATCGTGTAGTAGTGTTCTTCAGTTAGATTCATCAAAAATAAATTGATAAAATATAGCTCAGGGTAATGTATGCTTCTCGTAATTTATTTTATTGATCTAAAGAACAGAGAAGACACTACTGCTCATTGACGAAGAACTAACCAGAGAGAAAAGTGAACAAAGAAAATTACAGGTCAGTTAGTTGAGGTGAAGAGGACAGAAAAAACAAACAAGAAATAATTAAGTTACTGTTACAATACATCCAAACAACAACAAATATTCAGCATATATATACATATACATATATATATATATATATATATATATATACAAACTTTCTTATTTATCTGTAACTGAGACTGTTCTTTTAGCATTGCTAAAGACAATAATGTATTGGTGATAAGTTCAAATACTAAATGAAACTTTTAATGGCTTTATTAAAGCAAACATTCAACAAATGGTTAAATCTTTTAGTTCATCTAATCGAACAATATTTCCATATTGTATGTAGACTGATAATTTAAAATTTGCTGATATTATTATTTTTCCCTTGCGTTCCAAGTGGAAAATAGGGCTTCAACAACACATCTCCACTTTCTATTTTCTGCGGCCCTTTTCACCTAGATCAACGATTGCCCGTAATCCCTCATCTCCTCCGACCCCCCCCCCCCACACGATCTCCTCCATGTCACACTCACACTGACGACCCATTCGCCGATTCCACTCGAGCAATGGCCTGCACTGCCAGCGGTGTCATTTGACGGTCTCCTCAATATATGTCCGATCCATCCATCTCCATTTATTTCTACATACTTGTTGAGCGATCGACTCTTGGTTGGTTGGTTTCCAGCCAGAGTTTCTTGTCACTTATTCTTTGTGGCTGGCAGGCCATTAAATGGCCTTCAGTATGGAGCTAGCCAGCGAAGGCAGCTGTTGATGAAAGTCTACCCTGGCATGTTGGAAATCCTTTTCGTGACACGCAGTGCGAGTTTCTCACTCATATAGAAGAACTGACTTCACATTTGTGCTGAACAGAATCGGAATCTCGTTCTTGATTCTGCAGAGTGGACAACATTTCTAGACTGGTTTCAGGTTGATAAAGGCGTATCTCGCCTTTCCGATTCTGACTGGCCAGTTTTGACATCTTCATCTGTGCCATCCACCTGTAGTTGAAATGATGCTGGCTTCCTAGATAAGTGAAGGAGGTCACCTCTGTTAAATCTCTGTCGTTGATGGTGATCGGTGCTGGTTGTTGATGTTGTTGTTGTTGCAGTTCGTTAGTTATCTTCATCACTTCCATCCTCTCTATGTTCATCTGGAGTCCTGTCTTCTCGGTCTGCTTCATCAGCCAGTTTGTTGGTTTCGCGTGTAAGTCTTCGAGTTTGTGTGACATTGGACATATTTCATCTGAGGAATCCAGATCTTCTGGAGTCTTCTTATCGGTAGTCCGGAGTACTCCTGTCTCCTCGTTCCCAACGTACAGTCTGACGCATAATCCAGTCGACCACAATTAAGAGTATCATCGGTGATAATAGGCAGCAAGCAGCCTTGTCTTACTCCTTCCTGTATTCGCTTCGAACACCTCTCTGAGTTTTCCGCTGTGGATCACTTGACATGTGACATTGTCATTTAGCTATTGACTGAGTTTAATAAAGATTTTGGGCACTGCACACTGTAGTGTTTAAGTAGTTTGCAAATTACTTCTCGGTCTACGCTGTAAGTCGAAGGCCTTTTCGAAGTCGACGAAGTTGAGGTTTTAAAACTAGAAACTAAAACTAAAGCCAGATACAAAACTAGCAAGCTAGTCAAATAGGCGTTTAGTGTTAATTTAACTCCTTCAGATCAGCTTCACGCAGTATCATCTTTTTGAGGAATTCAAAATTAGGAAAACTGTTAGATTCTCACTATACATAAGCAAAGATGTGAAACTAATTCCCAATTGTTGTTGTGAGATAATAACAAATAAAAAGTTTCCCATGGAAATATTCTTCAGATAATACCTTGGTTGCAGATCACATTAAAAGGTGTTTTCAGTCTGTACTTCTTTTTCTCCATTAAAGATAAGATTTTATTTTGATAAATCACACGGTGCTGTACAGTAATATTAACTGATGACCACATTTCGAGCACAAATTGTTGCTGCTTATAATCATATCAAGTCACCACTCACACAACTTTCTTGCTTCATTGATATACATGAGTGAAATAGACTAGACATTTGAATAAAATCAGAGTAAGATAAAGTATATTCAGAAATAATAATATGAGTGTCATCAGTCAAATACAATCAGATGGGAAACAAGACGAGTGCTTTTATAGTTAAAATAAGTAACTTGTTAGAATGTTATAATTTATGTGAATTGAAATAAAATTTTAAGATTATTTATTATGCTCCTATGATTTGACTGATTGATGGTAACAATATCTTCCATATCTCTGGTATTTGCATTGAATCATTTCTGTTGCATGTGTTGGGTGTAGACTCAATGAACCAGGATTCAGTAATCAATCTCTACACCTACCTATATTACTCTTTAGAATCTTGACTCTGTCCCACCCTATTGTGTGGTTGTGTGTTAATGCATGCAGTGCGATTGTTGTGTTTTTTTTCTAAATTACTTGTCTTCGTAGGATCAATCATTCTAATCTTAGCTAAATTCTTATGTCCAGATAATCTCACTATACCGGATCTACTAGTTTGACCTATGTAGTTGACCTCACATTCATTATATTGATTTTATTCAAATGTCTAATCTATT